TTCATTTTCTGCTCCTTGCACATATGTGTCGCATTTTTCACTACATGTTTTCCAGTGAATCCAGTAGCACCAAATATTATTATATCTAAACGATTATTCGCCATTTTCTTGCAATCTATAGCAAAATAATCATATTTTATAACTTACAATTAATTTAATGTTTTTTGTTAACTTATTGAATAACTCATAGAAAATTAAAGAACTGCCTATTAATACCTATAGATTTATCACAAATTCATTAATTTCTATATTATGAAATTAAATAAACACGAAAAATAACAACGTACTGAAAGTAAAGCACTTTTAGAAACCAGTTTTAAGGACCAAATCATGTTGACAGCCAGTTTCATTTATTTATTTTGCATGAATATTATAAACTTTGCCCACAATTCATATTTGTTACATAACGATTAATAATTATGTAATTAATAATTATAAATTATCACAATCAATGACAAATATCTACTTCTAATTGCATTTTGTATCTCAATGTCAATCTACTCTTCGATAATCTCCACCGGCTTCAACTTAAAAATTACGTTATACCGTCGTAATACCGTCGTATCGGCATGTCGCAGCACATGAGCACATACAAGGCATATACGTGTGAAAAAAAAAGATCGTAGCTCAAGTGCTTTGATCATATAAGATATAAACTCTGTATAACATGTAAAATATAAATGTGTACGTACACGAAAGTATCACAATAATCGAAGCAAATTAGTGGCCGAATAGATCGGATTTCCCTTTTGAGAAAGTGTGTCCTTCGTCCTACCCTCTGCCACGAAGCAATTTGCGCAGATACGTCTACAGGCGTCTATGACCGTCGATGGGTATCGATAGGCGTGTCGATGTGCTCGACGTCGACGGTCGACCGTCGACAAAAATGGCATCGTTTACACATTGCTGGAGTGTGCTAGAGGAAGCGGCGCGCTGGAGAGAGGGGCGTATGAATGCGCTTATTTAAAGCGATGAGCGCCTTTAATCCCTCGCGTTCTCGTTGCGTTTGAAATGTCATCTCGCAAACAAATTTCTGCGTCGCTCGATCAACTTGACAAATATATCAATCGAGTTTTGACTCCGAACATAAAAAATCTCAACTATATTTCTTTATGCCTTAGTGCGAATTTACATCGTCACGAAAAAATTGTCTTGCCTTAATTCTGAATGCATGCTACTATTTACACAAATAAAAATTACAAAATCGGTCTCATGCAAACGTGTAAAATAATCTACAAAATAATTTATTTTATATATTTTTTATGAGACATTGAAATAATATTGAGTATGCAATGTCGACAGTTTCGGATTGTAAAAAAAAACTACAAAGTCATACAAGAAATAAGGTAGATAAAGAACAATTTAAGTTGTATTAATATTGCGTCATAAGTGTATAAATATAAGGTTTACTTATTTTTATTCATTCCAAGTAAAACAAACAATTAAATGTAATTTTCGATTACCTTAATATTATAAAATACACAGTACACCCGCTTATAAATACTTTTCTCTTGAAATATCATGAAATAAGACATATAATACACAGTTGAAAAACACGCGCGCGCGCGCGGGGAGTGTGCGTGTGTTATATATACGTATATAAAATATAGAGAGCATAAACTTTTTACCCAAAAACTATAAAAATGTTAGTATCAAAATCAAACGAAATAATATAGTGTATTAAAAAAAATCTTGTCAGTAAGGATTGTAAAACTTTCATATACTACTATCTACTAGTATCTACTTATACTACTTCATATCTACTTATCTCTATTTCACGGTAGATGATATTACCTCGAAATTAATATTATGTTTATTCATTTGCTCGATCAAAGATGTTTTACCAAATGCAGCACCAGGAGTGAGCACTCCTCCGCTGTAAAGATATAACAACACAAAAATAAAGCCGAATTTTAACATGTAATTATTATTATTATTGCGTTTTAATTGGTTATATTATAAACTGGAAATTTTTGAAAAGTCTTCAAGTAATGACTATGTTAGACACGAAAGAGAGTTACATTAAGTAATTAATGATTCACTCACTTGTCAGGTATTTTGTCACTTTCATTAAGGATTGTAATCGCCGATAGGATCACCATGATGCTAGTCCCTCCATATGAGGGAGAATCACCGGTGACTTTGGTGATTACTTCCTTATTAGGTGGATTTGTGTGTTTATCAGTAGGTGTCGCCAATTTTTCAGTCCATCCACGGGCTTTGAACGTTATAGAAAAGTGTGTCGATTTCAATGTTTCCATATTCGGATTCTCGTGGCTGATAAAACCGAATGAAAAAAAAGAGGGATACTGCAAATATTGCGTTTAATTATTTCATATTAATCATTTTGACCTAAATCATTTTGACAATCGCAAATATTTTGAAACGTACTTTTAGAAGTAAATTACGACCGCATGCCATGCGAGTCATGATTAACAAAAACATACCGGTAATAGACAACATCAGGACCGCAATGAAAGACCTAGTAATCAATGTACATTAGCAGAAATTGCTTCTCAACACTTGTGGCATTTTATCGATATTGTACTGACTTAAACGTGGCATAGACTTCAACTTGCGCAGGCCTCTCTTTGTACTTATCGTACAAGAATCGCTGTGTACGAAGAGCTAGTGGACGATCGGCACTTGGAAACCGTACAGACCATCCTTCAGAGACATCACTTCGGTGAACTAGACCTAGACCTCTGCAATGAACGGAATTATTAACGCTGCTTATCATCAATAATAATATAATCACTATTTTTTTTGTACAAGTTTTGCATAATTTGTAAATACCTGATAATCATCAAACTTGACTTATAATTGACAAAATTATAATTTATAATTGTACACATAACGTTTTGGAAGATGCAGACCTTGGTTTTAATTTTGGTGTAAATTCGGGCAATTTGGTAGGATACAATTTTTCGTGTAATTCCCGTAGTTCGTATGAATGAGCCAGACTATATATCGCAGTTTCCCAAGTTCCATAATTCAGATACGAATTTTTGTTATCAGTGGCGGTTGACGATATCGACATGTATACTTCAACATCATTGACTTCTCCTCCAAATTGCTGTTGTGTGAAAATGATTCCCAAATCGATAGGGACACAGTCAAAGCCGCAAGCGCTCACTACGTAAATTCCAGCTTCTTTAGCTGCCTCGTTATATTCCAATTGTATTTTCTCCATGAACTGTAAAATATTGAAAATATCAGAAATCATCAATCAATGGTTGTACCGTTGCGAACGTATATTGAACTACCTCTTCTTCACCAGTGATATCAACGTAATGAGTACGAGTAGCAA